CTTCTCCCATTCTCTCTCTATCCCTCCTCTTTTTAAAGGGAGTTCCTTCCTCTGGCCAGTCTGTTTAGTTGTATATAACAGAACCATGTAGAAGAATACATTAACAAGAGATATGGATTACCTTTATGATTTGTCATGAAGGTAATCCATATCTTTTGCCAATGATTTGAGAGGCAGTAGGGGGATAAAAATCTGCCCATCTCCCTCCTCTGCCGGCTTATCACCCATTTTCCTTACCCTGCTGGTCATCGAGTGGTGGTTCTGAGGAGGAAACCAAACACAGTATGTCATATCACAAATATGACTATTGTATTCTTTTGTTCTCTAAGGAGTTTATCTCAAAGGTAATGGGAGTGCGTGGGAAAAGCAAAAAGAAGAGAAAAGGGGGGGGGAAAGGATGAGAGATAAGCAGAAAGCAATGCAATTTTTTAAAAAAATGAAAGTGGGTCTCATCCCCAGGGTTTATGCTTCAGTGTCTGGACATTTTCTATCGCTCTGGTGTTCTGGACTGATCCCCTGTCCTCAAGAAGACTAGCAAGAAACAGAACATGGGTAATACAATATTTTCCCCCTTTGCACTGTCATTAGATATGTGGGTTTTTTCCTCTCATAAGTGATTGATTCTCAACTTCTAGCATCATTATTCTACCATGAGAATGGTATGGAAAGAACACTTATCTAAGACCTGCAGCTGTTTGTAATTCTATTTAGATCTGTGATGAGATCAAACCCATTCTTCTTAGCATTTGTTTGCAGTCTCTCAGTGCCTCTGTTTCACTACACTGATTCAGATAAATAAAGACCATTTAAAATACAGTGGTGTCTCAGCTTACAAGTTTAATTGGTACTCCAGTCATAACTCGAAATGTTCATAAGCTGAAGCACCATTTCCCATAGGAAGGCATTAAAATGCGATTAATTTGTTCTGTTCAAAGAAAAAAATCCCAACCCCCCCCCAAACAAACAAACAAAAAAACCACTGCAAGTCCCATCAGAAACGTGATTAACTCGTTCCGGCTGAAGGAGAAAAAACAACAGAAAGGCAAATAAATACTGCAAGACCCATTGGAAATGCAAAAAAAAAATCACCAAAAACCAAACAGAGAGTGCAAAACCCATCAGAAACGCAAACAAAAAAACCCCAAAAGCAAACAGAGAGTGCAAGACAGATCAGAAATTCAAGGAAAAACAAAAACAAAAAGCAAACAGAGAGTGCAAGACCCAATAGAAATGGGAAAAAAGAAAACAAACAAACAAAACCTGCAAGACCCAGCACAGCATAGAAACATAATCCCACCACCCAGCCCTAAACCATGCTGCAAAACCCACCCAGAACAGTTTTTAAAAAGTACAAAGCATCATCTTACCAGACAGCCTGAAGCCTCCTCTGATCATGCCCTCTCTAACTGCTGGGGAGAAAGAGCTACAAAGAAGCAGCCTCTTTGCCACCAATGGTTAGCAATTTGAATTCCCCGCCCCTTTCCCCTGCCTTTTTCTGTTCATAACTCAAAGCTCCGGTCAGAAGTAGAAGCAAAATTTTGCAGCCGGAGCTGGTCATAACTTTAAATGGTCTTATGTTGGGACATTAGTAAGTCGAGGCACCACTGTATTTGGAAACTGTGCACAGACACATCTTTTGTGTTGCTACGTGCCTTCAGGTCAAAACTGGCTGACAGCGACTCTAACAGAGTTTTCAAGTGAGATATTTAAGGAGTGGTTTTACCTGCTGCACTCCCCCAGTGAGTTTCCATGGCTGAACGGGGATTTGAACCCAGGCCTTTTAAGTCCTAGTTTGTCTTTTTATTCATACACACTTTAGACAAGGGGAAATTGGGAACAGTGTGTACATTGAGAAACAAGAGTGACAAAATATGAAAAGAAGGAGAAACAAAGTCCTCCAACCAGAGGCAAATGAGGCACAGAAAAAAAGGTGTAGGAGGAATTCAGAGAAACGCAGTGAAACTGAGGTCAGAAGCAGACATTAGAGACAGCCTGTAATTTGAGCTGAAAACACATTAGTGTTGCTGAGGTGATTGAGGCAGTCGTTCTGTATTTGTGAAATCAGGCTTCAAAGGAAATCTTGTGAAGGCTAATCACCAAACAAGCCAAGTTAATTTGCATAATCCCAAAGGTGGGAGAAGCTCTTGCTGTGATGTTCAGAAGTTCAAATTAGTGAAGAATTTATGTCTTCCAGTTGTGGACTTGTTTCTGGCCTGACACTGAGTGATTTTCACATCGCAGTTCACCAGGGGTTCTGTAAGGACAAATGTGGTGGGGATCGTGAATGTAACACTCTACTCTCAAAAAGGAAAACAGGCGATTAATCATGGTGCCGAATTTGAAAGAACTTTGAAAGTAATTCTGATAAGGACCTACACAGTTTGTGTGAAAAATGGAACACTCCAAAAAATCCTTAATACTGTCATGTTTAATCTCTCAAATCAGGGCAAAAGAGAATTGCTTAGTTTTGCCTATTGCTCCAGAGAGTAGATGAATCACTGGCTCCCACTCTGGGTTGGCTGAAAGCGTCATACAGATGGTCTTTATTGTGCTCAATAGTCACACAACGGAGTCCAAAAGTCAGCAGTACTCAGATGTGGCTCTCCGTACTCCGTTGCCTTTTGTTCCATTTGTGGTACACATTGGCATGGCTTTAATCTATTTAGACCTCTCCCTAAAAATAATCAGACTGTAAAGATTCAGAATATCCTCTGATGGAGAACACTGCAGTCATTAGGATGTTTCCTCTCTTCCCTGTTAGACCTTACTGGTTTGAATGTTTTAGTCTTCAAGCAAGTCTTTGATGTGCCTCCATTCAATAATTCAGTTTAAATTGTGATGAATCCATCATGCAGAAATATTGTCAAAATTTTGTTATCTCTTCAGCTTTTTAGTACCTATGAAATTGAAAAATTTGGTGCATTATATATATCGATTGACTGATCAATCGATCTAACTGTTATGTGCACAGATGTCATATCACATAGCTATTTTCTCTCACTATTTTAAGACAATTTCACAATTCCAATAACTTGGAAACCAAAATCATTATTTATTTATTTACTTATTTTCAGAAAATGGAGCCTCTCCATACAGAGTGAAAGATATAGATCCTTCAAATACCTGAGTTGATTATATGCTGCAGAATGATTTAATTAATTGGTAATTTGACTCCTTTGTCACTGTGGTAACTAATTCTAGTCCAATACACTTTTAGAGAAGGAGTCAATGAGCCTGAAAATTCATGTAATTTGAAGGGGGTGCTTTTCTGCAGCTGTACGCTACAGCAATGAACTGCAACTTCACGTTAGTGTCTGCAGCACTGAACAATATAACCAGTAGCTTAATTTCAGCGTGGATTTCAAAAATCTGAACACTTATTTTGTGACTTTAACTTCCCTTATTCTACTTGTATGTGTTATATTTATTTATTGTTAAAAATATTTTTGTCAAGCTAACTTTTTAAAATGATGGTTCCATTAGTGCATTTACATGTGGAACAATTTTAATCCTTGTGGTAGCAGCTGCTTTCATCTAGTGGCAGGAATTAATAAATATCAAAGCACTGTTTATTCTGCTGATGAAGCTAAATAGGCTCATTGATGTTTTTACAATAAAGTCCTTTTCATGAGTACCTAGAAGTAAATAAACAAAGATGAAAGCATCCTTTTGTTTAGTGCAATTTACTCTTTACCTAAATGTACATAGGACTGCAGCATGATGACCTGATCCCTTATATATTTACTTGTATGTACCGTAGGTCTCATTTTTGATATGGTTTACTCTCAGAGATACTTATACATAAGATCTCAGCTTTCAATAATAACTTTTAATATGACCACATTTATATGTTTCACTTCCTGTGAATTAAGTTCTTTAAAATCTAGATACATACAGTATTTATATAGCGTAAATTCCTTCTGAGCCTGACCTAAAGTGCTAAAATGTTTATTGTAAGTACTGACTGTGGAGATAAAAATAACATTGGGAGCCTAGATAGGGTCCATGATTGTGAGTCTGAGGAACTCTGAGGAACTTGCTTTTCCTAGCATGAGAGGACTGAGTCACATTTTGCAGGATGGCCATTGTGTCACATTCTGAAGGCTGATAAAGCTCGCTTCATGTCGCATCCACCCTCCAAAGGAAGGCATCCTCCATTTGTGATTTATCACTATGCTTCTGCCAGCTTCTGCCAGAAAGATTGGTTGGTGGGATGGTGACAAACCAAAAAGCAGTGATGGTCACTTCAGTGCAGTGTGTTTTGAAAACAAAATGACTTTCTAAGTGTGTATTATCTATCTATCTATCTATCTATCTATCTATCTATCTATCTATCTATCTATCTATCTATCTATCTATCTATCTATCTATCTATCTATCTATCTATCTATCCAGTTTGCTTCTTATAACTACAACCTCACAAAAGCTACAGTGCTATATCCATTCCATCCCTGCCTTCAACAAATGTCATAGAAATCAGTGGGGCTTCCTTCTGTTAAAATGCAATGTACGTATTCCAAATACTCTCTTAGGACTCTGAGTGAAGGTTTCAAAGTGCAGACTCCAGTTACTAAACGTCACTTGTTAATGAGTTCACCTCATTAATTTATTACCCACATAATTGTTTTGCATTAACAGAATGATGGGCTCTTTCCCTGAATGAAGGTGGAGAATTGGGCGGGGGGGGGCAGCTTACTCAAGTTGGTTTCATTCGGAACAGTTCTCCCTTTCACCCTGTTTCCCAATCATCGTGCTTTGCAGATACAGTATTCCCCAGTGTTCTAACCAGCTGCTGATCAGACCGGGAGCCCATCCAGCTGACGGACAGATGCCTTGTCTGTACTTCTAGGTGATGAAAAACTCACCAGTCCTCTGGTCCTTGTGACTGCAATCAATCCTCTTCCCTAGTGCTTGCCCCCTTTAGTCGAGAGTGTTTATTTGAATGTATCAATCTCTCTTGGTGATTTCCAATCCTCACCAAGGAGAAGCAGTGTCTTCATTGTTTTGTTGAGGAAGAGGGGGAGGAAGAACCCCCACCCTTAAACAGGATCATGGACGGAGGACAAACCAATTTACATGTCTCCCTGTTATCTTGCTAAACTAATAAAAGAGGTGTCCTGTGGCTGAAGGATGGCAGGGATAAGGAAGAGAGGCTGGAATTTGGCAAGGCAACCTGAGACTCCCAAGGAAGACAGCCATCGTGTGTGAGAGAGAGAAAGCATCGCGCCTCAACAGCTCTCTTCCCCTCTGGTTTGAATCTAACGTGGGTGGCTCACGAGGAATCTCTCTGTAGCAGCCTTCCTCAAGTTCAACTTCGTGCGGCAAGTTCGGACCCGGCGCCCCTCCAGGTCGGGGTACGTTGGACAGCTCCCTCTCTGGCGCTCGGTTGCGGGAGAGCGCGGGACGCGGGCGGGCGGGCAGTTCAGCACCAGGTATCTTTGGACAGCTCCCGCCGGCCTTCCTGCAGACACCCCGCCTCCCTGCCGCTTCTTATCTATTACTCACGCTTCAGAAAGTGATCCGCGTGCATTCTCAGCAGCGCTGCAGCGGCGGAAGCTGGCAAAAGGCACCCCCCTCTCCTTCGTTCGAGGTGGGTCCCCATCTCTGGCTTCTTCCCCTGCGGGATCACTTTTGGAAATATGGACCTGAAAAAACAAGGGATCCTCATCCTCAGTCCAGGAATCCCGGGGCTGCTTCTGTTTTTCTGTGAGTAGATCCGTACCAGCTTTGGTAGATCCCCCACCCCGAAGACGCTATTCAGTCCCCCCACCTAGCAATTCTCCCTGGGTTCCCCACCTATCGCAGGCCGTTGGAGAAAGAGTAGAAGCAGAGCCCCAGAGAACAGGTTGTATGCCTTGCCAGGGAAAGGAAAAGCTCAGCCACCCCAGTCGCTTGGAGGTCTCAGGGAAGGGTCGCTCCGCGAGCAGCTGGTTGCGTTTTGCTGAAGCCCTTCTCTGTCGCCTAGTCAGGGAAGGGAACCTCGCGTCCAGCTGCCCCGTGGATCAGCCTAGCTCCCAAGTGAGAAAGTCCAGCTGCTGCTGCTTCTTTTTGTTAAAAGGCGTTCTTTTTCTGTCTTTTGCTCCCTGGCAGATGCTCTCGCGGGCAGCATCGCAGAACAAGAAGTGGAGAATCTCTCCGGCCTCTCTCCTGACCCCGAAAAGGGGATTTTTGTCGTCCGTGAAAACGGCACAACTTGCCTCATGGCGGAATTCGCGGCGAAGTTAATTGTCCCCTATGACGTGTCGGCCAGCAATTATGTGGACGTAAGAATTTTTTACTCTCCCCCACCCCCCGCCCCGGTTCCAGATACCTGCCCTGCCTTCTCTTCCATTACCTTGGCGAAACTTAATCCTCTAGTAAAACGATTCAGGAAGGGGAGCTCGGGTTTAATATTTGTCCATGTGTTTGAGAGGGAGGGAGGGAGGGAGGGAGGGAGGGAGAGGGGGCGGGGG